TACAGTCCTCATCATTGCGGACCGGTGGGGCGTGTCAGCCAGTATGAGTGTGCACACTGTTGAAGCCGTTCTCAGCCTTTTTGTTGAAACGCGTATGCGACAAAAAGTGGTAGAAAACGAGTAATACGAAGGATATAATACAGTAATGTCACTTGCCCGCTTCAACAACTGGTGCAGAACGACTTTGGCACCGCGCCAAACGCAGCCGCACTGACTGCCGGTCCGCAATGATGATAGACACTAGCCAAAGTAAGAGAAGTTAGTAGAGACTGCTCGTCAACTCTTGTAAAGCAACGAACACGACGATAGGAAGAAGGAAGTGCAACATGCCCCCACACACAAGCCGAACTATGCCATGCTCTCTTCTCAGCATAAGAAAACTTCTTTCCGTTCCTGACTCTTACTGAGAGATATCTGGTCGCTCCCCAATAGAAAATACTGCCCATGAGCACATCTACGGCCTTGTTCGCTGCGGATGGTGGAAGTGTCAGTGAGGCTGGGTTTGGCGCACTGCCATCCCATTCTCCTTCTTACTAGAGCACGTAAGCGACAACAACTGGTGAAAATTAAGTGATACAAGCGTTACGATAAGTCTTGTCGCTTAAGAAAATAAGAAAAAAAGAAAGGCTGGCGCCGAGCCAGACCCATCCCCTGACTCCCACCATCTGCAGCGTAGAATATCTCTTCACGGGTATGTGGCAAGAGAATCGCAATTCGCCGCGTCCAGTGGGTCGCGTGCGACGTCGCGCCCGCTAATGACGACGATTTTAGGTGGTATTGGTCGAGAATAGATAATGTATGACCAAAATAGATATAATTGTCTACCATGTCCTTGTCTACACAGAATCCGATGCTCCAATCGAAAGGGTAGCGCAAATCAAGGAAACGTCGCGCCCATTGCCGCGTGCGACGAAGCGGCCATTTACGATTCTCTTGCCCGTCTCCCTCTCTTCACGGCTAGGGCCACCTTCACACTCTGCGAAAATACTGCAGTGTCGCGAATTCTCCCTAATCACAAATTTTGCACATTTGCAGGAATGAAGCGGCTTAAGAGCTGAAAGGAAAACAGCAGTGACGACGTTTTACGAAAACTCACCACTGTACCACATTTGTTGCTATTCGGAAGACTATTGACCATGGCCTCGTAGCGAACAGCAAGGCCGAGGTCCGCTAGTGCACACGAAAGGTCAGCTTTGACAAGAATATTCTTGCTTTTAATATCACGATGAGCAATGGCAGGTTTCTCTAAAAACAGAAAATGGAACAGTAAGAAAGACTCTCATGAGAAAATTCCTATGAAATCCACTAACTTTGTATTCCCATCAGTTCCGTGTGCAAATAGGAGAGACCGTTGGCGATTCCACGTATCATGCGCACAAGTGTCATTAGACTGATAGTCTGTAACATACAGTTTCGTTTGTCGGCTTGAATGATTGAGCGCTTGATCTCCCCAGCTGGATTAGGCTTGCTTGAAATGCTAAGGCTACGTTCATACTTCGTGTCAGCGTCTACCAGCGTCGGCTATGCGTCTATCAGCGTCCAGTGCAGCGCTATCATGTATTTGAGCAAAACTGCTCGCGAAAACGGAGCTGTACGCTGGTGGACGCTTTCGTTTGCTAGACCGATATCTATAACTTCCTAGTTGCCGGCCTGGCGTGTGCTCGAAAGGCTGGTGGTGGCCGATGGACGCAAAGTACGGAAGCAGAAATTAAATCAGAGATCAATTACTGGCTAGTGAGGCCAACTGAATGAAAGCAAATTGATCGTTAAGAATCACAGAGGCTAGATAGATAATCATAGGACAAAAAAAGGATCCAATGACTGTCGATACTCCGTTAATTAACCACAATTGCATCACACTGCCAGTATCTGAGAAAAAGCTTTTAAGATGGTTTTCCATGAAGAAAAAGCATTTCCCAGCTTTTCTGGGATAGTTCCAGAAGAAAAGTGACTGTTGCTATATGGATGGACTGAATGGGATTCTGGAAGAATTCTCCAAAAAACCTACACACCTTTTCTATCGCTTGCATAAAATTGCAAAATATTGGGATGGTGAAGCATGTGGATTTGGAACGTTTCCACCTCATGAGACCATGCTCCTTCATCGCGTGAAGAGAAAATCTTCACCGCTACCAAGTCGCCCTTCCAAGCACCCAGCCACACCTGAAAGAAAGGGAGCACAAATCTCAAAGAGAATTCTCGCGATCAAGTTTTACGGATAGTAAGTGCTCAATTATAAACCAGCGAACCACATGTATCTCCCAGTAGAGGAAACAAACGAACAAAAAACCTTGGGGAAAACTCTAAACAGAGACCCCCTCAGCAACGGGGCCTGCGTCCTGGATGAGTTTTTCGGATGTCGGCAAGACCAATCAGCAGGATTCGACTTGCAATCACTCTACGACGCTCCAGGCAACGCTATATACAATTCCGCTTGTAAGCCGTTGTCTTGTGGAGTGAAAGTAATCGTGGTTGCAATGGTTGCAATAATCACGCGACAGCTTCTTTATCTCTTTATTTCCAGTAACGAAATTTGTACATTCTGCGAGTGCGAACAATGATGCCAAGTGTACGGAGGTATTTCGCAGAGCACTTGATGCGAAATAATAACAATAGCATCTTTAGTTTCTGACATGCTTTCGTGTTCTGGGAAGCAAACTCTTTTCCCTACTTACACAAGAAAGAGGTCAAAGTGGCCATTCGAAAGTGAAATAACGCTGTTTGGCTTAGAGGGGGAAGGCATTTTGCACTTTCACCAGTTTCTTTTGCTAGTTCCTATACACAATTTATTCTAACAAGGCCTGTGAACTCTTATCAACTGCAAATTATGTTCATGCTATTGTGCAGCTTTACAGTAACTCATAAGTTTCAATAGGAGGCAGTGGCAATGATCGATGGGAGCCAGCAAAATGCTCCTCAAAGCCGGACTTCTTCTATTTATGTTCCAAAGCTTCCTTTTGTTCGCCATACTGTAGCATCGCAATTGTTTGAAACCAGTTGCAAAAAAAAACCCAAGGCAGGGTTACTCGAACGCGAGTCAGGGAGTGGTCTTTTCAATAAGGGACTACAACTGTGGAGTGGGTGAACCACTTATCGAGCGTAAAGCTGGAGTGTGTGAAGCCACGTCACAGTGATCATAGAACGCTATGCAGACGAGGGTGCAGAGAAAAACAGAAAACTGACGCGACTGATGGGAGCGAGTTCAAGTAGAACCACGACAAGGACTTTATACCAACTGATACACCTCTAGAGAGGGACTATGAGGACGTAATTAAACTCTAGTTCGCTGCGGACGACTGGGTGTGTCAGGCAGTATGAGTGTGTCACCCCGTCAAAGCCGTTCTCTGCCTTCTTGTTGAAGCGCGCATGCGACAAAAAGTGGTAGAAAACGAGTAATACGAACGATATGATACAGTCATATTGCTCGCTTTAACAACTGGTGGAGAACGGGTTTGGCACCGCGCCAAACTCATCCCGCCTGACACGCCCAACCGTCCGCAGCGAACTACACTATAAAATCTGGTGTATGACCCGCCGGAAAAAAGGGGGCGCGGGTGTGGTAGGTGACTGAGTGCTTCAGAGCCATGCGATAACTATGTTGATAATGAGGGTGTTACTTTCAAGAATGCAGTTAACTTTGACTTTATAAGGCAATATAAGGCAACACTGTGGTTAAGCGAGATAGATTCACAGCCTTGCGTATGCACCAAATGGTATGTCTAAAGGCGGACAGGCGGAGAAGGCGTAAGGAGAGCGAGGGAAACGCAGTAGCAAACATTACAGGAAACAGAAGAAACAATTAAGAGACGTTCCTTATCAGGAGAGCTTTTTCGAGGAAATTACTTGTGGCTTTTAAAAACTAAAGAACAAAAGCACATTGAGACTCACATCCCCAAATCTTCCTTGTCCAATTTCACGCACTAGTTCAATCTGTCGAGCAATGTTACGTTGGGTGAGCAACCCCCGGCTAAGCCTGCGGAATCAGCGACATATTAAACACCAAGGTCCATACAAAACTATAATTCAAAACAAAAATGCGAACAGACCAATTGCTTTGGGAGACTGAACAGATTGTTTGTGGACTGGAATGAACCGCATTAAAAAGAGCGGGAACCAACCAGATCCTGATCCTGATCCAGCATCGGTTGATTCCAATCCTTTCAGTAAGAGCAGCTGAATAGCTGGAGCCGATGTCGTTGTTGTTTGTGACATCGTTTCTATCATTGGAATTTCATCGTCCCGTCTAAAAGAAACAAAAAGGCTCAAGAAAGTAAGGTAGGGACATCAAGATTTAGAGTAAACAGATATCAAGTGAGCTATGATGAAATGGAAAGCGAAAGTCAACGTTAAGGCTGCGTTCATAATTTGCGACTCGGCGTTCTGGGACAATCAGCGCTGCGAGCGAAAAAGTAGTATAGGAGCTGATCAGCGCTCGGAACGCTGCTTTCTTCAAAACGCTGATTCTTTCACGAGGATAGGTCGATGCCTACACATTCCTTTTCGCTCGAAACGTTGATCCGCTTGAAACGCTGCTTCTCCTGAAACGCCAAGTAGCCAAGTATGAGGAGCAGCCTAGCAATCGCCTACTGAAGTATTTGTGACCAAAAGAGAGCTTTTAGAATTGGATACCCGAAGGCACTCGAAAGATGACCACACCAAAAGAAATATCCACAGGCACAGTTAGGCGCCATAGAAATTGGGGGGGAGGGTTTTCAGCAAAGCTTGTACAAGCCACCTCGTGAAAACCTGCAAACCCTTGTAAGGAAATCGGCTCACTTTTATCACTTCGACGCTCCACAGGTTTACAAGTATCACCAAATAAAATCTGTAGTATAAATGAATTAGCAAAAGGAACTAACAGATGTCCAAAATGCTCCTAAACCCCCTCCCTCCACCTCCTGAAGCCGAACAGCGCCCCAGAACTTCCACTTACGGCGATATATGATTGAGTGCAGTTGTCATCCGAGGACCAAATCGAAGATATTTTCTCGTCACACTTATAACTCTTTGATTCCGTAGTAAAATCACAATGAGCGTAGCGATGCAGCAGAACTGAAGTATAAACATCGAAAGAGCATAAATGAAAACATAAGATCAGAATCATTTTTGAAATCACTTACCAAAATTAAGAGTCCAAGGATAATCCATCCCCATGAAATATTGTCATCTTCAATCAATG